GTGTGGAGTCCCTTTTGTCATCCCTGCCACTGTCTCCGTGTCCCAAGCTCCAGATGACATGAGTCCCCCTGCCTCATTTTGCACAGACACCAAAAGATAATGAAATACATGAAAACTCAAGGAATGCAAAGAATTGGACTTTGGTGTTCTGGTGATGTGGAGCCCCACGAGTTCTAAGGGTGACATTCACTCGACTGTCCCCTCCCTAGTGGGAAGTGACAGTTCTTCCATGGGACATGGGGCTGGGCAAAGCTGCTGTTCTTGGTCCAGGCGGGAGGATTTGCAGGCTGGCCTGGTCTGATGTCATCCTCCACACTAGACACTGTGGCACAGGGAGAGACTTACGGCTTCAGGCGCTTCCTCACCAAAATGAGAAAGGCACACCCAAATGGCCAGGCTTCAAAAACCTTCCAGGTGCGCCCAAGAATATGAGACAGGCTTGTCCCAATGTTAAACAAAACCACCAAGGGGGTCACAAAGGGAAGGCAAGGCACCTTTTTTTGGTGTGTGTTGGAATTCCACAGCTGTGACCTATAACCAGCAGGCTTCCCCTGGGAGATGCTGGGGGGCTGGCGGGACACCAGACCTCACAAATGCCCCTGTGCTCCAAGAGAGGGTGTATTTACACATTTGTTGTAAAACAGGACTGTTGAGGTTTGGAATGATTTCAGTTTGTGAGGAAACTTGGCATTCAAAATCTTTCCAAGCAGGGGGTTTGGTTACTATTAATAATTCAAGTAAGGATTTGGTCTGCACTAGTGAGCGAGGGAAGGCACGGCAGGGGGGCCTTGGGGGACTGGGTGTTGGGTGTTTGAGCCAGACCTGAGCAGTCTCCATGATCTGGTCCTCGGGAGCCAGAGCATGCTATCACCCCGTTAATTGAGGGTCCCTTGCAATGGTATCTGATTCTCCCCCACCCACCACTCCCTTTCCATGGTATGGGGTGTGATTGAGGCCTGGGTCCTGACAGTGGGACTCTGAACCATGACTCAAAGCAGACTTCCTATCTCCAAATGCAGATTTGGGGTTCTTTGGCACCATCATGGGCCTTGGGTTCTATTAAACACGCACAACAACTTCTGTGCCAGGGAAGAAGTTTGTTGCTGACTGCACTGTCCCTGAGCATGCGTGTGTTATAAGAACACACGAACGCCAAACATCCAGACCATCTAAAAAGCCCTCAACTACGGTGCACATGGTAAGCAAGCATGGCTCAAGTGGACCAGATTCACATCTGACCTTTAAATGCTGGGCACACACCAGCAGAATGCCCTGCACCCCCGAGGCACATGCCCCAGGAGATGGAGGCTGCTGCCCTGCTGAGCGGCCCCAGGACAACTGGGCAGCACGGTGGCCTCTGCTGTGTGAGTGCTTCCACAGTCCCTGGGGGTAGGTGGCAGTGACCTTTCAGACCCAGCTTGACATTAAATGTGTGGCACTCCCCTCCCGAAGAGCCACATTTGTGCCCACTCTGGATGCAGGGAGAGCACTGCCCTGGACAAATGGCTGGTGTAAGAGTGAATTGTGCTCTTAAGAAAGATGGTGCCCCTCCGATGAACCCGTTCCCTTGGCCCTGCCCGCCCCTCTCCCTCCCTGCATCCTCCTCTGTCTCCTTTACTCACTCACCTTCTCTTTCTTCATTCTCTGGCCCAAACCTCGCTGTCTCTGTGAAGCCTTCCAAAGCCCTCCTTCCTGCCAGCCTTCTCTGCACCCCACCACTGGGTGCCACACCCCAGGGCTTGATGCAGCACAGGGCCTGGCACACAGAGCCCAGGAGTGACAGTTCACACTTCCACAGCTCAGGGATGGAGCTGGCAGGTGCCACTGGTCATTCTGTCCCCCCTCCAGGACTCCGCTGTCTGGACCCCTGGAAGATCATGGCCTCTGCACAGTGGTACCAGGTCCCTACCCAGTGAAGCCACCACAGATCCTCCTCATTTCCTTCCCTCTTGCAGATCCCTGGGAAGCTGAAGAATCCCATTCCTTGGAATCTGACTCCTCCCCACTTGGTAACTCACCACCACCCCCCACCCCCGCAAAACTACATCCGGCCCCTGCCCCTCCTCCTGGTGTTTGGGGAAGGAGGCACTAGAAGGCTTTCAACCTGGTGGCTGCCTCTGAGAACAAGAGGCAGGAGGAAGCCTGCAAGCCCTGCCCCCTTCCTGGGGCTGGAGTCAGGGCTGCTCTGATCCCTGACCTACATCCCCAGGTCTTTAATTTATTTTTTAAAATTTTTGACAAAGAATCTCACTATGTTGCCCAGGCTGACCTGGAACTTGCAATCCTCCTGTCTCACCCCCCGCCCCCCCCAAGCAGCCTGGATTCCAGATGTGGGCCACCACGTCTGGCCCCTGCCACTTTCCTTTGACCAGGTCTGAGCAGTCACTGTGATACGGTCCTTTGGTGGGGGAACTTTCAAAGCACATTTATCTCACACAATATCTAAAATGTCAGCCAGACAGATTCCCTGCAGGGACAGGGACTTCTGGGCCATGTATTCTGAGTATGTAGGTGGCTGCTATGCTCCTTCCTCGGGATTCCTGAGACACACACACACACAAACACACAGAGGAGAGAAGGCGCACGGGGAGTGGGGTGAGGGGTATGGCTGACGGTGGAGATAGCCACAGAGCCTAGGCTGGGCAAGGTGGGGGACCTTCCCCAACGTCACCAGCCTGCCATTCTGGGGGCTGTCCTGCTTTGCATACCCCCGGAAACCTCTCTGCTCCCAAGACCCACACATCTTCCTGGATCTATACAACTGAGATGACAGAGATCAGTGGAAACACTTCTCTGAGCCCTCAGCACGGGGCCTGATGTCCAGCTCCCCTAGGTGTGCACCAGCTGTTGGGGACAATGCCTTTGTACTACCTGCTCCTGGGGGGCCTGGCAGAGGTGGCCATACTGGAGGAAGCTATGAACCCACAAGGGCACCACACCCAAGGACTGGTATCCAGAACCATCTCTCCCTGGCCCTGGCTCAGAGGGCTCAACTTCCAGTTACGAGGCTGGGTGGGATGAGGGGGGGAGCTCTGGTCAGGGACAAAGCATCAGAGGCCACCACCTTCCACAGCCAGGCTATCCCAAGGGACCGTCTGAGGGCCCAGGTCCCTCTTCCCTGACAAGGCCCCCAACTCTACCACATTCTGCCAACACCCAAGTCCATCTGCTGCTCACCACCTGAGACCCTGGGGAGGGGCAGCGCCGCTCGCAAATGCCCCGGGAGGCCAGGGTGGGCCGCCCCCGCGTGATCTGGCGTCTTCCAAAAGGAGGTCTCGGCCTCTCATGGAGAGATCCATTCTGTCCTTCTGAGAACAAAATGATCCAGCCCTTGAATAAAGTCAGAGATGGGACTACTGGAGAACTGGGAAACACAAGATAGTGGGGACTTACCAGAAACATCCAGTTCTCTGCACAGTTACCAGATACCGATGATCATCTTTCCTGAGGGAGTAGTTTGAAGATCACCCACGTCAGTTACCTGGGCACTGATGGTTAGAAATGCAGAATCCCAAGTCCCGTCTGTCCTCTTAAATCGCTCTTGAAGGCGGGGACATCAGAATCTGCATCTTTCAATCACCTCCCTTGGTGACATCAGGGGATAGAGAATTTTGAGCCCTGACTCTGTTCGGATCTGCCAGGCTTTTGGGAAGGGAGTGGGAGCCCCAAACACACCCAGCCCTCTTCCTTGTGCTGTGCATGGGCCAAAGACTGTAAGCTGATCCAGGGGATTTCTGGCACCAAATAAAATGTCCTCATTAAAATCAAGCAGATTGTTTTAGCCTGCCTTCGGGTTAAATCCTAACAATGTGCTGCCTTTGGGTTCCTCTGAGGGTCTCGTCACAGCCAGACAAAGGCACCTCCCTGCACCCAAGCATATACACAGGTAAAAACCAGGACACGAGGGTGGCCCCATTCTTTCCATCTTCTCTCAGGAAGAAAGGCACATGAAAAAGGACCAGCTTCTTTATTGCTCAGGGAGACAGGAGCCTGAGCAGAGTCCCGGGATAATCACAGGGAGAAAGAAACGGTGCAAGGTGTCCGCCTCCTCCCTGCCCGCCTTCTAAGTGAACCAGGGTGGGCAGCCACCGCGAGACATCTGGGAGGGAGCTGGCCACAGGGCACATGACCCAAATGCCAAGGCACCCATCAAGTGCACTGTGCCCTGGGGGTCCCCAGGGCTCTGAAATCCCCTCCTTCAGGAAGAAACCCAAGAAAAACTTGGAATCAGGGCAGAATGAGCACAAAAGCAAATTCTGAGGTGCAGGACCAGAGAAGGAGCCCGTGGGGACTGCAGAGTCAGACAGTCTGTCCTTCGCGGGAGTTATGACCAAGCTTCTTAAAATGTCCTCACCCCGTCCTGTTGCTCCCCAAGGGTGGGCCTTGCATGTCAAGCCCTGCACTGGCTGAAGTTCAGCAAACACAGGCCCCTGGACCCAGTGCCTGAAATCCTGGTGGTCCTACATGTGATACCTGAGAAAACCATGTGACATCTGATCAATTCAGTTTCCCAAATGAGGTAGTAATTCTGGAATAATGAAGCGGGGGGGGGGGGATATAGATGACTTTTTATCCAAAGGTAATCATAGGAGAATTGATGACATTGATCGCTGATGCAGCAGTTTTGTCGGGCTTCCCTGTGGGTTTTAACACCTGTGTCTAAAGGATAATGACCCCCTGCCTTTGACGTACCTGGGGTTTTGTCGACATGATGCCACTACAACTGGGTTTTATCAGCTTTTAAGCAGTTTTAGAGATACAACGGCAATTATGAAATGTCTCTTTCAAGACATGTGGTGTTGTGGGTGACAGATCTTGCTTCTTAGCTAAAGAAGAGGAAGGAGACCTAGCTGCCACCAGAAGTACAGCTCATGCCTGTGCAGAGCAAGCAGAGAGGATCTGCCACAGCATCTCTCCAAACCGATGACTGATGAAAACAGAGTCTGACCGCCCGCTGACCGCATCCCCGGGCTCGCCCTCTCCTCCCGTGCAGCAGGGAGATTCTCCCGTCAGGTTCAATTGTATATGTTGTCTTGGCCCCTGCCTGACTGTAACCTCAACAGCACTTTTGGCATTGGGACAATGGAGGGTGGACAGCTGCTTGTCACTAGGAAAGCTCGGAAGGGTGTGTCTGTTGCGATTTGAACTTGAGTGGCCAAATGGGCTCTGAACAGAGTGATTTCATTTCAGCAACACACCGTCCCGTGCAGCAGTGGTGTGCTGGTAGATGCTTAACAGCCGGCTCCTGGGGAGAGAGGCCTGACTTGAAGCTGATTCTCATGGTATAGAAACTTCCACCATGGCTGATCGAAAACTACCAACATGACAACCCCACTCACAGAAGGGGGAGGGATGTGCCCCAGTGACTCCCCCAGACAGGCGTGATGTGCCTCTGCCAGCACTGGGAAGGCTCAAAGCCTCCTTAGATGCCTCATCTGTCTCCATTCTGGTCTCCATGGAAACCTTAGAACCAGACAACACTTGGCCTGGCTGAGCTGCCTTTTAAATGAAAAGCTAAGAGTTAATAAGAGGTTATCTTTCCAGGTAACCCTGCAGACCCTTCTCTGCCTTTAAATACTGGGGCTGCCCAGTAGGGAACTCTGACAGGCTCTCCCGGCAGGTCCCCGGTGGGTGGTGTCCTGCCCCAGTGCTTCCCAGGCTGGGATGTGAGACAGTGGGACACCTGATTCCACGGCTCCATCCTTTCCACCCTGAAGGATCACTTTAGGATTGAGCAATAACTGCTCTGCACATTCACAGACGGATTTAAAATGGAAATAAAGACGGGATGGCCAAAACCTATGCCAACGCATCTAGGTTTGTATGAAATCAAGAGGGGGGTTGCTCCTGGATTAGCTAAGCATCACGGTTACATGTTCTGTCAAAGTTTCAGAAGCACAGGGCACGTTCTGGGTGACCTTGGACACCCTTTGCTTTCTGCAGATAGATTTACAGAAACTAGGTGATTGAGCCCCTAGGATTATGGGACCCAATGCCTAAAAATAAAGGCTGGCTTCCTGCTCTGGTCAGTTCTCACCTGTCCATTTCAAGGGTGTGCTGCACCACGTGCATAAAACAAGGCAAAACATTTCCTGTCAATTCAGGTCACAAATGGGGAGGAGAGAGACCCATCAGCCACCTTCTTCCTGCTTTTCCTTGGCTTCCACATTCATGGCATGTAACTCACAGGAAGGTGACTTCCTGATCAGACTTCAAAGAACCTAGTACATGTATCACCTGCCTGTTTAAACCATTTTCATGCTAAGATTGTCTACACACACAAACATTAGTTCTTTTTATTGGGTGTGGGGGATAAAAGTTGAATCCAATATACCGTTCCTAAGACGATGGGTGGGCAGCTGTCAGTAGCCACCAACTGTCAGACTCTTACCCCATGGGCACACAGTCTCGGGGTCCCCACTAAGGGTCCCAGCTGGATATTTGGATTAAAGCAGCCACCACTACCAAGTGGAAAGGAGTCGCCAGGTCTGGGCCACAGGTCACTGCAGCCTCAATTTGGGCAGGCCTGAAATGTCCCATGAGACCATCACTCTTCCTCTTCGAGGAGCCCCACATCCGGTGGTCAGCAAGCAGATGGACGCATGGCTCTCCACTGCCACCAGCACTCTGCATCCTTGACAGTGACTGCACTGTCGTCCACCGGGGGCCTCTCAGGAAGAAGGGCCTGAGCACAGCCTGTGGCATCCTTTGGTGATACACAGGACAATCCAACCTCCACCCTCAGGGACCAGAGAGCAGCCCCGGGGCCCTACAGGCCTGGGAAACACAGCTCTGGGCTGGCCAGGGGGCGGTGGCAGGGTGTCTGCCCAGGAGCCCAGCCGCCTCCCTCTTCTGCGGGCCACCTCCCTCTAAACTCTCCGGCGGGAGAGCGGTCCTTCACTCAGACACCGGCAGGATGTTCTGGCTGTGAGAGTCACCTGTGAGCCCCGAGGAGCGGATGGAGCGTCTGTGGAGGACCCTGTTGAGAATCTCCCGGCAGCTTCTGCGGTACTGGTGTCTCAGCAGGCAGTACACGAAGGGGTCCGAGGCGGCCTTGCCGTAGGCCAAGCACTTGGACAGCACCCCCCAGTGGGGGCCAATGGGCGCCGCGGAGAAGATCTCCACCAGCCTGCGGAGAGACGGGACGTCACTGTCACTCAGAGCATAGCCATGCACGGACGTGGGCAGCCACAGGCAGGCTCCAGTCTGCACCCACCCACGGCTTCCTGGCCACGGGCCCTTGCTCAGAGACCACCTCTCAGGCAGCAAGGACAACAGCAGCCATTCACAACAGCAGCATGATGGTGGGCGTCCACAGGCTCTTCTTTCATTCTAGACACTGTACCCTCGAACCTGGGGGATGTAATGTATCTCGCTATCTTTTCTTCTTTTTGTACTGGAGTGAATCCAGGGGTGCTTAACCATTTATCCACATCCCCAGCCCTATTTTTTGCATTTTATTCAGAGACAGGGTCTCACTGAGTCGCTTAGGACCTCACTTAGTTGCTGGGGCTGGCTTTGAACTCCTGCCTCTGGCTCCCGAGCCACTGGGATTACAGGTGTGCACCACCATGCCCAGCTTTATTTCTATTTCACAGATAAAGAAACATGTCCCAGGAGGTCAGATAATTTGCCGGTCAACTTTGCACGGCTGGTCAACTGCAAAGGCAGAATTTGAACTCAGCTCTGACCACCTCTAAATCCCAAGCTTCACTATGAAACGGGATGATAGCTCATGGTGCTCTGGCTTTGGCTCCAGCTCCCTGGGAATATCTCTCCACACCTTGGAACTCAGCTCTTATATGAAAAGCCAGAGGTGTAGGCAAGATGGTCCGGTCATCTTTCCCAGCGGCAGAGTCTGGCACGACTGCCCCGAGCCTGCTCTGCCTTCCTAGCAAGGCCGAGCGGGGAAAGGGCTGGGGGTCATTTGGTGACACTGCCTGAAGCTCAAAGCAGGTCCTATGCAGGACAGAAGCTGCTGGCTGAGAAGGTTGGGTTTCTGGGGGGCTCTGATAAGACCAAGGTCAGGTACCCTGAAGTGACCCTCATTCACTGGGGGAGGACAAAAGAAGTCACAGCTCATGTGTCCAAGGGTACAATTCTCAGGGTCCTCCTGACACTAGTCAATGATGCCAGTGCCAGGTTGTGAGGGGTGAGAGCCTCCTGCTGCATAAACAGACACGTTAGTGTCCAGCACCCTCATATCTGGCCATGGTCCAGCATGAACATAGGATTTTAAAACAAACAAACAAAGACTCAGAGCTGGGAGAGACTTTGGAGATCATAAACCACCCTCTCCCGTGCCCATTGTTGACTGAGGACATCAAGGCCCAGAGAGGGGAGGATATTGCCCAACATCACACAGCATATCAGTGGCCACAGTAGGTCCAGGCCCTGTATTCTACTCTGGCACCTTCTTCTACCTGAGTATCTGCAGGATGGATCTCAGCAGAGCTGAGCCGGAGCTGAGCTCTGCTGCCGGCTTTAGCTGGACGTCCTGATCCCCAGGGAACTGTGGGGCTCCATTCCTCCTCAGAACTGCCCCTTTCCTGAACAGACCTCCAGCGAGTCCATCCGAGCCCCTTGGCTGCCTTTCCATTTCCCTCTCCCTTGCCCACCGCCCCCAGGGCACAGTGGATACGGCTCCTCTCAGGTCCTCGGGAGCCTGATGAGGAAGTGGGACCGTGTGCATTTGGGAAATATGTTCTTTTATGAGACCTATTTTTGAGAAGTGATGAATTTAAAGAGACAAAATCCTTGAATTTAGAATCCACAGCTCATGCTCACAGAGAACTAGCTGAGGGCCAGCACAGGGCTGCCGAGCCCGGCCGACTCGCACGCCAGCGGGTCTAGCCTTCTACCGGTAACTTTTGTAACTCTCCCCCAAATGAAAGAGCTGAATATCATCAACCCATCCAGCCAGAGCAAAATCGTCATCTGACGATTCTGAAGATTTCACAGAATAAAATTATTCAGAGCAGTTTTAAATTTCACCATTTGGAAAATGGAGATGATCTATGGCACTTGGAAACCTCTGTCGGCTCCACACGAACACTCCCCAGTTAGGGTCCTCTTTGGGTCAAGCCCTGATGGACAATCTCTGATCTTACAATTCTCCTGCCGAGGGGATCATTATCCCCATCTTACAGGCAGGGACATCGAGGCTCAGAGAGGCTGGGCAGCCAGCCAGAGTCTCCATCCAACCACAGAGCAAGGCCCGGCGAGGCCACCATGGGACCTGACTCTCAGCACTCAGGGTGAAGAAGACGTGCTCCGAGGCCCCTCGTAACTCCAAGAGCCCCTTCCCCACAGGGTCGACGTGCGCTCGGCAGGACTTTGCCTCTCGCCTCTCCCTACAGCGCACAGGGCAACTACTGCTCTGAAAAGCCAGGGTCTCTCCTTCCTCAGGCCCCAGGCAAAGGGAAGCTGGGGCGAGCGCAGAGCTGGACGAGGCTCCCCTGGCCTCCAGCAGGGGGCGCTGGGATGTCCCCCTCCGTGGCGGGCCTTGCCCCATCCTGGCTCCATCCGTTATGGGGGCTGAGAAGAGGCGAGGGTGTCCATACTGCCCAACTGTTTCTTCCTAATTCCAGGTCTGGGTAGGTGTCGGGCTGACCACAGGGTCCCTCCCAGATGACCTTTCAGACAGGGAACACTTCAGCCCATCTTCTAACACCAAGTCCCCTCCGCCACCGCTTCCTGCACCACTTCCTACACCCTCCTTGACAAGACAGGATTCCGTGACTCAGATCAGTCCCAGTCTACACTCTACACTCCTCCATTCTCCCCGGGTGGCGTATTTCAGTCCCCTGCCCACCCCTCCCTCTGGTGGTCACAGTGGGTTGGTGGCCTCAGCGTTTGACAGACGGGGCAACTGGCAGAGCAGAAGCCCCCCACAGGAGCAAGCCCCCCGGCTGCCATCTAGCACGGGGCCTGGAGTTATTGGGCTCAGGTGTTAATACTCGAGACAGCATTTCCTCTTGTCTCTGTGATGAGCTAAATTGTGTCACCCTCCAATTCATATGTTGAAGTCATATCTCCAGCACCTCAGAATTGTGACCTTTGAAGGTTATTGCAGATGTAATTAATGAAGAGCAGGTCTGAGGGAGAGGGTGGGCACGGCTGACCCAACAGGACTAACGTCCTCAGGCAAGCCGAGAATCTGGGCACAGACACACACACAGGAAGGACAGCAGGTGTTAACGAAGGCAGAGGTGGGGGAGAGGCATTTGCAAGTCAAGGAACACCAGAGGCCACCAGCACACAGCCAGGGGAGAGGCCCAGGGCAGTTGTCCCTCACAGTCCCAGAAGGAAGCAGGCCGTCCACACCGCCACCCTGGGCCTCCAGGACCACATATAAGTGCCTTCCTGTTGTCTAAGCCCTTCTGTTTGGGGTACTACTATGGCAGCCCTAACAAACTGAGACCCCGAAGGCACCCACAGGGGTGAGGGATGGTCTAGCATTTGGATTTCCTGGAGTCCCTGGCCACAACATCAAAATGGCACCTCGCCCCACCCCATTCCTAGAGCCCTGTGTGTACCAAGGACAACACTGGGGGTTTGCCAAAGCTCCTTCCCCACCCTCCAGGAAGCAGGGCTTGTCCCCATACGCACTGTTCCTACTACCTGCCAGACCTGCCAGACCTGCCCATTAGGCACCAGGATGGCTTCCCACGCGCCCCCTGGGTGTAAAGCAGACAGCATTTTGAGCACATGAGCACGCACATCTCCGCCCCTGGTCTCCTGTCAGCAGGCCAGGTGAGGGGACAGCACTGGGATGGGAGAGGACAGGCAGGGGCGGTGCTCAGCTTTTTAAGCATTTCAGGCAATTCCAGTGCCAGCACTTTTGCCCTTTATGGAAGAACTCTGGGCAGCGGGGTGTGTGTGTGTTGGGGATATAAAGTGCCTCCCAGTTCATGCCCCTAGCCCTGTGCACTTGCTTGCACCTCTACACCCCTGCTGCTCCATGTGTCTGGGGACTTCCCATGAGCCACAGCTCTTCTTTGGCAGTAAGCCCCACGAGGCTGCTGGCTAGCCACTCCCAGCTGGCTGTCAGAGCAGAGGGTAATGGACACAGGAGGCTGCCCACCATGGCCCCTCACTCACCGGGTCCTCTCACCTCACCCAGCAAGGAAAGAAGATGGGGACACATCTTCAAGAACTCTGAGGCATTCTCTGGACCCTGGGGAGACTGATGTCCCCACCTTCTCCATGACAGGAATCCCCAAGGAGAGCAAGTCCTGAGGGGAGGACAGCAGCCCCTGACCAGCACTTCCTCCCGGCCCCCAGGGATCAGGATCTACCAACTGATCACAAGCATCACCCACCCCACCATATCATTCTCCCAATTTTACAGAGACAAAGCCAAAGCAGTGTTGTGTCCAGGCTCTGGGCCAGGACATGAAAGAACCAGGACAGGAACCAACACCGTGGGCACCAGTGACTAGTGCCTGCCCACGCCTGGACTCAGTTTCTGCTTCCAAGAAGCCAAGCACCTTTGCATTCAAATACTGATTTTAAAGCAGTAAATTAGAGCCCTCTCTTCCTACAGTCTGTGCTCATCATCTGTCTGTCTCATTTCTCTCTCTCTCTCTCTCTCTCTCTCTCTCTCTCTCTCTCTCACACACACACATACACACACACACACACACACACGGTGCATTTCACAACACAGGCCACAGAACACTCCTCGGCAAGCCAGCTCTTTGTCTTCCCAAGACTTCTGGAGAACTTGGTCTTCATGCTTGCAGACCTGAAAGTCATAAGCTGATGCTTGAAATTTTCATGAGGCATGAGAGTGGAAAAGCGGTTTTACTGATAGAATATTAACACTCAGGAGCCACCCGCACATTGAACCTCTCTCCCAGCCACATGATCCCATTACTTTGAAAAGCCACAATAATGGGGCTGTCAGATCTGCAAATGCCTCGAAGCCTGACTGCAATGATTTAAGACGGCCACAGTTATTTGTAAGCGTAGACCACTGCAGAGATGACGGCCTGACAACTGCTTCTAGATCCGTGAACTTCAGTTCAGAAAATACTTGCGAGTGCTTCTCGAGGAGGCTGCTGTGACTCTGCAGGTCCTGCTCGGTCGCTCCAGGGAGAGTCCTAATGACCCCGGATCTGAGGACACCAGAGCCAGTGTGACTGTGCAGCAGAGGTGTCAGACTCCTATTAAGACCTTTGCGAATGTCCCCCGCTGTCATGGCACACCCCCAAGCACAGCTACGGGTGGCTCTCCAGCTGGTGCATTGGGCTTTCTGAGACCATCTTTATGAGAGCCACTACTTGGTCAGCACGTGCCAACCAGGTCTGCCAACTGCTCTGCCACCAGCGCTGATGGCCTCCTGGGCTCTGCTTCAGTCACATAAGATGCTGCCAGTCAGGTGGGAGATGGGGACAGCGTCATGCGGACCCACCATTTTTACTCAGAAAATCCATGTGCCTGCTTTACAAGAGAGCCTGGGTGCTGCCTGGGTTCATGTCAAGGTGCTTGTGTTTTGACATTAGGAGGGGATAAAATCTGTCCAAGGGGCATCTCTGTGTCTCCAGTGCCTGGTCCCCAAGTCTTGTAACTGTAGCATGGGCCAAAGGATAAATTGTAGCAGAGTGGCTGATGCTGACTTTGACCATTGGCTTGGCCACTCCCTGCTCATGTGTCCCTGGGCAACTCACCTCTCTGAACCTAGACTAGGATCCGAGCCCCCTTGGGCCTCGGTATTCCCACCCTGCAGGAGAGCTGTCCCAGGTGAGGCATGGAGTGTGGCCATATCCCTGGACACAGGACAGGTGTTCACCAGGTGGCAGGTATGGCCTCACAGACTGTGTTCTCCAGTAAGAAGCTGGAGACTTGAACGATCCTTGTAAACGCTGGGCTCCAGGCTGAGACGAGGCTTCCTGATCTGAGAAAGTTGTCAAGCAGATGTGACAAAGAGAAGGAGCTCCCCCGGTCAGATGGATCTTCTCAATCAGCTCAAAGGGTGACAGATGTCACAGCACAAGCCCCCTTCTGTGTCAGCATTCCCATCCTGCCAGGCCCCCCGTCTCCAGCCACCATCGGATCTTAGTCCAGTGTCACCCTGGATGAATCACTCGCGGGTAGGCTGCAAGCCCGGAACCTGACCAAGCCCTGGCTTCCTCGACTTATGAGGGGCATGTTGGTAGGTCCAGAGGGCACCTGTCCAGCTCTGGTACAGCCTCAGGCACCGAGTGGGACTTGCAGGGTTAAGCAGGGAAGCACAGTCCTGGGCTGGCTTAAGAGACAGAGCTTGCTCTTAACTTTTCCTTCTGAATTCCCCAACACCGTCTGTGGCTGCCCGAGTTGGATTTGATTTTCATCTCTGTGGACAGGAAGGCAGCAGAGAGCAGCACTGGCGCCTGCACCGGAGCCGTGCCCTTAGTGCCACTGGCCAAGTGAGTCCCTGGGGGTTCCGGTGTGAGCAGTGGGTGGTGGCGCTGGGGCCAGCGTGGCTCCACCAGAGCCATATTCTGTATTCATGAGGACTCCTGTGCACAGCTTTTCTCCTAGTAGATTGCTGCTTATCGCCATGAAGGATGAACAGTTATGTGCATGTTTTTTAAAACTCAAAATACATCAAACCCATTTGGAAACATAAAACTGAAAATACATCCATCCGTCCACGTTGACTTGTGAACCTACCATCAATTGTACTAAAAAAGTATTGCTGGGCACCATTGAAGGAATCAAGCCACAAACAAAAGTGGGAAAAGCTGGAAAATGAGATTAACCCAGAGAAAAGTCCGATTATTTGAAGCTGGAGCTATGACCTGTTCTCCAAGCGTTCAAGTTCATCTCGTGAGCCCATGCCTCCCTTCCCCTGCTATAAGCCCACTCCTTATATCAGAGGGAGGGAGGACAATGACCAGGGATGTCATCCACACAGGCCTGTGCCACACACCCCAGTGCTCTGAGTCCTCTTATCCTCATGACCCACACTCCCTCTGGAGGCCCAGCAAGGCCAGGGCACTGGCCCCGAGGTCATGCAGTGGAGGGATAGAGCTGGGGTTTGGCTTGGGAGGCACACATCACAGCCACGCTGCTGACCACGCACTCCACCTCCCGGGAAGGCAAGGGAACCTGTTCTCCTCTGTCACTGTGCAGGGGCTTGTGTCCTGTGAGAACTCTGGCTTCATGGCTGGATTAGTGGGTCTCAATCCATGGTTCCCAGCCAGGGAAAAGTCTGGTCCCCAACAGATCTTGGGCAATGTCTGAGGCATTTTCAGTTATTGAAACTGGGGGGCTGGAGAGGGGAGCCACCCTCCTGACATCCAGTGTGTGGGGCCAGGGAAGTTGTTAAACATCAAAGAATGTCAATGACACTGAGTTCTAGTAGACAGTTCTAGAAGGAAGAACCGGTGAGTCTGCTCTGCACAGATCAACCTGTCCAGAGACCCGAAGGCAGTTCTAGGTCCTGTGTTCATGGTAAGATGAGGCCAGTTAGGTCTCCCAGAAGGAAGCAGCACACCAGGGAAGAGAGAGTGGCGGGGGGCACCGGAGCTGGGTGGTCTAAGGAAGAAAAGACGACTGGGCACATGGAGGCAGCTCCCTGCCCATCTGCAAGTCTGGGAGCAAAGCACCTTCTCCTGGGCTGCAGAGGGCAGAACTGGGCTCAGTGGCTGACACTACAGCAAACCAGGCTTCAGCGTGACGTAAGGACCACAGGGAGGAGGCAGAGAACTGTCCACAGTGGGTCCTCTGCCAGGGTGTCAGAGTGCCAGGTGACAGTGTGGCAGCGGTGCTCTTCCAGGACCCTGCAGCTGAGGGGTCTGGGGCTCACTGGGATGCTGGGCTGTGCTGTCTCAATGTCTTTCTGTCTGTCACACACACACAACTCTGTACAGACCCCACTTTCCAGGCTTGACAGAAGCTCCTTCTCCACCTCCTCATAGAACACGGAAGTTCTTTGCTACCGTCCACTTCCCAGACTTTGGAGCCACTATGGATACACAGTCACCGGGTGTTTCCTTCCCTTCAGTCCACAAAACAGACTGGGTGATAAGTTCTTTTTCTTTTTTCTGGATGAGGCTGACATGGGGCAATGTCATGGCCAAAGCGGGCTGGCTTGAGGAAGGTGAACCCGAGAACAGCGGCCTGCAGTTGGCCAGCTCGGGCTGCAGATCTGGGGAGCACAAGCCCGTCTGGGAACATGGGAAAGGCCCCAGCCCCAGCAGAGGTGGCCCACCTGGCTGAGTGCAGGACATGCTCCCCAAGCCTGCAGTGTCTTGGCTGGGGACACCCGGGGCTGCACTAACCAGCATTCAGTGGGCAGCAGGAGCCCAGGCCTAGAACACGGTCTCTTCTGCTTTTCTTCCTGCTTCCTTGTGTTAGGCCTCCTGGGGTTGTGGGCCTGGGCAAAGGATTGGAACGCTGTGATTTGGAATGCAGTGGAGTTGGGGGTGAGGGGTCTCTCACGCCTTTTTGGTTCTGAGTCTAACCTGAAATAATTCAAGTTGGACTAGGAGAACAGTATGGAGGTTCCTCAAGAAACTAAAAGGAGATCTACCACACGATCTAGCTGCCCCACTTCCAGGTGTATGTCCAAGGGAAATGAAACCAGCATCCCCAGGAGACACCTACACACCCATGTTTATTGCGGTACTGTTCACCGTAGCTGAGATGGGAGATCAACCCTGATGCTGGTCAGCACATGAAGGGTAAAGAAAATGTGGAATATTCAGTCATAAAAAGAATGTAATTTGGCCAGGCACAGTGACACACACCTGTAATCCCAGTGGCTTGGGAGACAGAGGCAGGAGGTTTGCAAGTTCAAAGCCAGCCTCAGCAACTTAGCAAGGCCCTAAGCCATTGAGTAAGACTCTGTATTAAAATTTAAAAAAAAAAAAAGGTTGGGGATGCGGCTCAGTGGCTGAATGTCCCTGGTTTCAACCCTCAGTACCAAAAAGAAAAAAGAAATTTGCAACAAAATAAATAGAACTGGACAACATTGTGTTGAGTGAGATGAGTCAGATACAGAAAGATAAAAATCCACACGTTCTCATACGGATGGATGTTAAGTCCATCTGGATGTGAAATAGGGATTACTAAAGCTGGAAGGGGGCGGGGACTCACAGGCTGGATTGTAGGTCCCCAAAGAGTGCAGACAGCAGTCATATGCTCCAGCACAGTGGGGTGACTGCAGTTCCCAACAACCTTTTACATATTTCATGAACAACTACAAGAGAGAGCTCAAAGCCTCCAGACTTGAAGTAATGCTAAGGAGACGGCACTGCTAACGACCCTGATTTGATCAGTGCACACTGTAGACACATTTTGAATTATCACACTGTCCCTCATAAATACACTCAATTCCTACATAGTAATCAAAAAATTCAAAAAAAAATGTTTAAGGAGATGGAAATGTTAGCACCCCAATTTGATCATTCCACATTGTACACATGCATCAAATTATCACTGTACCCCATAACTTGACACAATTAAAACAATAATTAATTATCATAAAAAGAATCGAAGGCTGAAGAGGAAAAGCACACACAGACCCAGGTGAGTGCCCTGTGTCCCCACTGCACCCTGGAGAAGAACTGGGGCCAGGAGAGGGTGCTCTTGCTAAGGGTCCTGGGCTTGCTCTGCTCTCCTAAGCCCCACCCCCCTCACACCAGGGCTCAGCTCACCTGGTGATCACGTAGGGGCCGAAGCACACGAGGAAGGTCCCTATGAAGGTGCTGATCTTCTTGGTGGCCCGCTGCCGCCTCCGCTTCTGTTCCTCCAGACAGCGTTCCCGCACACTGTGTGGAAGAGAGAGAAGGTGACTCACAGGCAGCCTGCCAGCTCACAGTGAGGTACTACTGACAGACTCACACAGTGACTTCCAGAGTAGGCACTGGGCTATGGAGCCCAAGAGACCTGGGGTCAAGTCTTGGCTGCAGCTGTGTGACCGTGAGCAAGCTGTGTGACACTGCTAAGCCTGAGGCCATCGTCTGTAATATAACAACACCCAGTGCCTGTTGGATGTGTGTGCTCTCTTGTACACACCATAAGGCCATGTCAGCACACAGATACGTGAAAGGCATTCAGCCCATACAGCAGGTGAAGCAGGAGCAATTGTGCTTAAGTGAGTCCCAATAAAATCGACTCTTCCTGCTACACTTGCATCATTCACTCACACCTACTACGCACCAGCCCTCGGAACCGCTCTTACCGAGCAGAGTTTCTCGTTCTTAACTTCACCCCAATCAGTGGATCAGTCCTGCGGGGTGCTTTTCACCTGCCCTGTTTTTCAATGAACGCCATGAGTTCTGTGAGGCCAAACAGCCTGCTCAGCTGGCCGGCAGGGGGGCCGAATCCTATCCATGTGACTCAAAGCTGGCCTTTCCCCGGGGCACCGCGTCCCTGCACGCGGCATGGCATGGGGCTTCCTTTCCTCCACATCCTCAGCCTGTTTCCATCCCCACACCTCAACCCTGCCAGGAGCTAGAGAGCCCATATTGTTGGGTCACCGATTCCTCCAGACACGGAGTTTGGAGAAGCCAGGAGGCCACCAAGTCCTCGTGGAATCAGGGAGCAGTTTGGAGAAAGGAAATGGGAGCCACCAATGCCTCTGACCACGCCTGCTCCTGCTCTGATCCACTCCAGGGCCTGCCCAGAACTGGTACCCAAAGGCCTGTGAAAAGCAGAGGCTCTGTGACCCATTGTGTGCAGCGACAGGAGGAGTGTGAGCTACAGCTACTTTGCCTGTTATCACGGGTGAGGAGGCCCCGGGGGCAAGCTGGCCCAGGCTCCACGCGCTCCATCTCACGGCACCCAACCTGGGCAGGTTCTTTTAATGTGTAGGTTCTAAATAATTCAACTGACTAAAGATGGCCAGGAGGAAACTGTGGACAGCGTTCCCAGGAAGCGAAGATAGCCTGGCAGAGCCAGGCACCAGCTGCCAGTGACCCCTGTTCAACCAGAGCAAGCAGCAGGGAGGGGACTGGAGACCCAGGTCCAGGAGCAGCGGCAGCGCCCGGGCAGCGCCCGTCCTTCCAGGGCACCCATCATCTTACTAGTGCTCAGAGCTCTTCTACTCAGACTTCCTGTCGCAGATGGCCAACGCCGTGTAGGTTTGGACTGACAGGTCCTGAAATTCGCACGGAACTGTTTTCCCTTGACTTTGCCTTTCCAGGAATCCACAGAGGAACTGGGAGCTGAGCTTGGTAGGAACAGGTTTCATATGGGTTGAAAATGCACTGCTCATGACTAATATTGCTCATCCATTCCTAGTCACTATACAACAGCCACATTCCCAAGTCTTCAGTATGTGCCACGCCAGACCCTGTGACAGGAGCTCACGTGCATTCGTTTATCTGATACTCACGACTCTACAAGCTGAGGGCTGATATCAGTACAGTCCCCATTTTTCAGATAAGGAGACGGAGGCTCAGAGGAGTTAAGTGATTTTTTTCCCAAGATCACACAGTTGGTGAGTGATGGCAGTGGGGTAAGCAATGTGTTCCTGCTTCTCTGAGATGTCCTGTTTAAACATGACAGTCCTGCATTCTAAATGGTCTGCAGGGGGCTGTCCTGGTTTTAAAAGGAAAGCCCCATGTCTGGGAGCCCCTCTCAGTCCCAAGACCCTGGGTGGTGGCAGGAGTCCAGGCACTGGCTCTGCAGCCTTCAGCAACACCTGCTGACAATCTGAATCACTATGTCTCCTAGGGAGGCACCAGGACTCGGATTTCTCCACCCAGGACACGTGAAGAACACGGCAGGCACACCGTGGGGGCTAAGGTCACATCCCCAGAGATGGGCTTTAATCTCCTGACTTTCCGATTGCACTTGAGTGCCTGCAAGTTTTCTACCCAAGTCCTCCACTCAGGTGACACTTGCAGGGTGTAGGTGAGGAGGAGGGAATGCTGTGGCCCCACCCCAGAGGCCAGGGTGCAAGGAGGTGACCAACTCAACTATCTTGGTTTAAAACGCAAAGTCCCAAGCCTGGGAAGCCCTCAGACCCAGGCAAACCAGGACGATGGGGATCCTGTCGCGCTCGATGTCAGCATTAGTCCTCACCACGGGGGCCCCTCATTTGACCACTCATGCATTTCCCCCAGGACTTTCAGTGCTATCCATGACAGGTGTGCTGCAAGACACAAGCCAGGTGTCCTGTGCCATCTCTGCACACTGCCCCCTGACAAGCAGAGCATTCTGGGCATCTCCTGAAAAGAAGCACCAAATTCATATACAGGACTCAGGAAGAGGACCCCAGAGCAACTGGGGCTGGGCCCTCTCCATCTGTGACCTGACAGACTGCCAACTCCCAGGGGCTTAGAACAACCCTGTGGGGGAAGGAGCTCTGGCTTAGGGGTCTGAAGCTCTGCCCTTAGCTGTGTGCCCTCCTGGAAGTCACCTGACCTCCCTGAACCCAGTTTCTCATTTATCTAAGGGGCTGTCATAACAGGCATAACTAGAGCTGGGTTCATCATAGGGACAGATAGGGCTTGCCAGCCATAGGGCCACTGCGGAGGACAGAGCTCCTTGGGTCCTCCCAATAGGAACTCAGGTCCCTGCTTTGGGGCCGAGAACCTAGCTGTCTTCAGGTGAGCAGCAGCCCCCTCACCTTGCCACATGGAAAACCTCTCCCCCAAAACACAAGAGGTCCTTGGGAATAGGGAAGCTTCACGGGTCTTCAGAAGGACAGTAGCACTTCGGTGACCTGAAAGAGTGAAATGGACCCTTCACAGGCTCAGATGACCAGGGTCACTCCCTGTGCTGTAAAAACTACGGGGAAATAACTTCCTGCTTCCAAAAGGCCTGTGCAGAGGGGAAATGAAAGGGCAAGCACTCTGCTGTCACATACGTCAGTGGTGACCACGGTTCTAGGCTCTAAGCCTCACACCCAGAAAATACGTAACGAGTGTAACATCGTGGGAAAACTCACTCAGTCACTTTTTTTGTTTAAATTGTCAATGGGCCTTTGTTTTCTTTTATTTGTTTAAATATGTGATACTGAGAATCGAACCCAGTGTCTCACACATGCTAGGCAAGCACTCTGCCACTGAGCCACAACCGCAGCCCCCAACTCAGTCACTTTTTAAGTGATCTTTTCAAAAGAGATGATCGTGAGCTAGAAATACGTTCTAAAATAGATTTTTTAAAAAGTGAACTGTAAGCATCTTAACCCTATCAGACAAAGTGAGGATGGTCAACAGTGTGAAACACCTCCACTGGCCTGGCCTCCATTCTTGGTTGCTAACCTAGTGGTTAAGCATGAAAACCAGAGCCAGACCTCAGGATTTAATACAGGCACCATCACTTCATTACTGTGTGGCCTTGGGCAAGTTACACAGCTTTTCTGTGCATCAGCTTAGTCATGTCTAAAATGAGAGTAATGAGTCTGTACTTTGTAGGGTTACACTGGGAATAACTGAATTAATGCTCAGTAAATACTCAATAAATGCTGACCATTAATTTTCATTCTTCATTCAATAGAAACTTATTCAATAATTCCATACTATGTTTCAACTCTGCCCTGAAACTCCTCTCCCACTGCAAGAGTCCTGCCCTGAGCATTTATAAACAGGAGCTGGAGCCAGGGACTGCCCCAGGGGTGCGGTAAGGCAAAGCTAGCAGCCAGGTGCCTGAGACTAAGTCCTGACTCCCTGAGGACTGTGACCCCACTGGGCCTCCAGGGACCCCAAGTGACTGTCCTTACCTGGCTGTGTGGAGCACAGAGGGCATCTGTAGACTATGAACTGTGCCTGGGGTTGTGTCTCTGCTGGGACAGACCCACTAGATGCTAGGGCCATGACGGCATCCACCCAGTTCACAGCCCCAAGGGAAAGAGGACCTGCTACCCAGACAGTGGTGTGCGGGTGGGACTGGCATCCGGCCACTGACTCCAAGCCAAGCTGCAGTCGGGAACCTCATCACCCCCTCCCTGAACTTTGGAGAAAGAGGAGGCTGGCTCCACTTTTCCTCCCTGGGATCTTCTACTTCCCAGGTGAGAAGAGGGAAGTGGCAGGAGATGAGTGAGGCAGGGTGGTCCCTTTCCCCAGGAAGCAGCCAGCTTCTGGCTTGTCACTGCCATGGTTTAGGCGCAGCCTGGGCGCCCTCGCCCACTCCCAGAGCAGTGGCATCATGAAAGCGCTTGGCGTTGGCTGCTGCGTTCTCCCTCCAGAGCTTTGCAAATCCAGGCTCCTGGAAATCTTGGAACCCGTGAGCCGGTCTTGTGCTCATCTGCACATCATGACACTGGGGTCCAGCAGAGGGGGTTGGGACATGTCTAAGGCCACTCAGGAAATTCTGGACAGGACCAGACCTCATCCCAGGTCTGATGACCCTAGGTTCTGGGGTGTTCCCCCAACCCCACTGTCACCCATAGAAATCACCAAGTGCTGAGCGTTCTGACAGTCCTGGGCCTGGTGGTGGCACCTGGAATCCTTGGATCCATGGGAGGAATCAGAGCAGAGGCTGAGCCTCCCCCACCCATAGCTGGCAACATGGCCAGGGGGCAAGCAATTCAGCTTTGCAGCGGAGTTGGGGCGGGTCCACCCCAGTCTGTGCAAGACAAAGGGGAGAGGCTGTCCAGCATTGTGACTCCTGAGGTCAAAGACAGGCTCCTAGCAGGCCTTGTCACCAGGTGAAAGGGGTGGCAATTCCGGGAAGGTCTGAAGAGTCAGTGAATGAGGCAACCTCTGCTGTCACCTTCCAGCCACAGCTACCTCCCTGCCCTCCACACAGAGCCTGGGTCCTGAGTGACCCCAGCTGACTGTAGTTCAGTCTCAGCCCATGCTCAAGCACTCACAAAGTGACCCATTTTGGATTTCCAGCTGTTAAGGCAAGGGACAAGCTGACTCACAGTAGGAAAGAGCCCTAAGTTTGGGCCAGGATGCTGGTACAACTTGACCCCCCATCTTGGGGATCCACACTGCTCCCCATGTAATGGCCAATTCACAGGGCAAAGGGGATTGCCCAGCCCACATTTCCATTGTAGACCAAATTCTCAGTGCTTGGAGCATGGCATTCTTTGCCCAAATGCCTTGATCCTGCTCCCAAAATGTGTGCAGGCATCTCCCGCTGGCCCCGTGCCTCTGAGGGTGGACTATGTGGCCTGAGTGCCTCGCTTTAGGCCTGAGGAGCAGCATTAGTGAGCAGTGTGTGTTCGTGGCTTTGCAGCCTGCAATGTGCTCCTGGTGCACAGGGCCCCTGCAGTGCTGGGTAGGCCAGCATGGGAGGTGAGGCCAGTGGCCCAGCTCCCCTCTCCCCAGCAAGAACAAGGCTGACCTCCAAGGAGCCTGTAGAGGCTAAACGTGAACTCCACCTTGCAGGAAAGGTGTATTTGCCAAAATAAGGGGACAGAACATGTTCCATTTGCCAGTTAGTGAGCTTAGTTTAGAGCACCTACACGTCTAGACACACTGCTGGTGAGCCTCCATTTGCCTAACTGCTCCACAGACCAGGGGATGATTCTGGACTCAAGCTACTTTCTGGATCTGCTAAATCAGGCAAGTGCCTCACTTCCTGTCTCCCAGTTTCCTCATCTGTAAAGTCAAGGGCATGGTGAGGTTCTGACTACGATGCCACCACTTGACATCCTCCAGAGCCAGCTGTCAGTCAGCCTCTGTGGGCATGGTTCATAGGACATAGAGGGGAGGCCCTGCAGACCCTTTGAATTTTTAGGGGAGTGCCCAGGCTGCTTCTGGGTTGAGTCCTCTTTCAGCATCCTCCTTCTCAAAAGTCCTTAACCCAAACTAATGAGCCTGGCCCTGCAGTGGACTGGATAGAGCAGGCACCTGCATGCATGCCTAGCAGCACCAGGGAGGGGTGGCTGTAGCGGGTCAGGAGTTGGGACTAGAGAGAAGTGCACACTGAGATGAGCCGGTGGAGGGCTAGGTGTGGATCAGACATTGGAAACTCCAACCTGCCTCGAAAATGTAATCACCGGAGAAATGCCACAGACAGGCAGGGGCACGGGATGCTGCTCAAGGCTGTATTTAAAGAAGAGAAGGTCCCTGCCGTTTGGGGGTGTTGAAGAAAGGGGGCATGGCTTGCTGCGCATCACATTAATATCCTGCAGAAAGAGCTGATACCACCAGAGCCTCCTGACAAATGCCACACTGGGCCTCAGGGATCCTGAAATGGGTCCCAGGAGGGCTAAGAAAAACTTCCAGGGAGCCCAAACTCCACCAGCCACCCTGGCTGCTCAGAGAAAGCAGTCTGGCTTCTGAAAACCCAGGACTGGCACCCAGGGTCACACAGGCTCTTGGCACCAAATTGGGTGAGGAGGCCCCAGTGAGAGGATGCAGAGACAGCCCCAGAGCGAGCTGTGTAGTTCTGCATTTGTGTGAGGAAGAATTTGGAGCTGCCAAGACAGATGCCAGAGGACTAGCTGTCAGGGAGTCCCCTGAGGCATGTCTGTCTCTTCTAGGTGGGCAAAAGCCCTCAGGGAGGGACAAGGCAGTGTCTGCTGAGTGGCCCACTGCTCCCACAGCATCCATGGAGCTGGTGCAATGGGAGTCGGGTGGGGCCTCCTGACCCTGGATGTGAGTGGGGCCTCTGGGAGTGGGGCAGGGCCTGAGGCTACCCAGAAACCTGTCCTCTCCAACAAGGCTGGCTCTGCTCCTGAGCCCTGAAGGGCCTGGGATGATAAGTGCAGGAGCTCCTCGGGGTCCCCCAGAGGGGAGTGGGGAGAGGAGGGCCCTTCCCTAAGATCTCCCCAGGAACTCTCCCACAGTGTCTGGCTTGGAGTAAGAGAGAGAGATTTGCTGCTGGCCCCTGTCCCCTAAATGGGCTGAAAGGGAGTCACTGCCCTCCCCCACCCCGCTTCTAGAAGTCGAACAGGAACTAGTCTAAATAAGAACTGACTCTTTTCCCAGTTCCATCTCTTCTCTGCTGTGAAACTCATGGTGAGGGGCCCTCTCTAGGACTTGTTCAAGTCCTGGAGTTAAACAACATTTCCTTGCATCTTCTAAGAGCAGTCCTGGCCTGAGCCCCAGGGATGCACCTTCTAAAGTGGAGGGTGATGGGAAGCGGACAGGTCTGCGAGTGTGGCTGCAGCATGTTCCTCCCACACACTGAGCCAGGCACAGGCAGTGAGAGCTGCTGCATGTACATTTTGCATGTAATTCTGTGAGGAAGGCTCTGTGGTGAGAAGATTGTTCTAGCATGTAATCAGGAGTGGCTGTTCTTGGGAGCAACAATGGACCCATACCTCCACGCCTTTATATGTGCAGGCATGGCGAGATTCAAGGACCGCTCATGGTTGAAAAGCTTAGCAAGGAACCCTTGTTCAGACGGACACCTCTGGTCTGCTAGGTGCTGGGCAGGAACATGTGCACCCTGGGTCCAGGGCTCTGCTCACAGCAGGAAGGCCCTAGCTTCTCTCACCAGGGCTCTCTGCCTGCCTCACCTCCTGCACCTATCGGGATACCAGAGCCCTTACCTAGGGTCTCAGGCAACAGAGGGGGAGCCTGCTTTCCATGGACAAAAACAGCAGCATTCGAAGAGACACACCAGCACTTTCCCTCTTTGCTTTCCTAATCTCATGAGGAAAGCCAGGTGAGCTCAGGACAGCTCAGCTTACAGTTCCTTCCGCTCCCGGGGCGGGGGTTCTGGGGATGGCAGAGGTTCTCAGCAGTACTTGGGCTTGCTGCCTCCCTCTGCCCTCCTGAGAAACAGCAGCTAGATGGGGCCGGAAGTGGGTGGGCAGGCTGTCTCAGGAGCCTCAGGCTCCAAGGCCAGGTGACACTGGACAGTGCTTTCTGGAGGGTGAGAGCAATTCCATCCCCCCAGAGCCAGCAACAGGGAAGGGCACAGCCTGGTTCCATCTGGCAAGGACTGTCTCTCTCTCTCTCTCTCTCTCTCTCTCTCTCTCTCTCTCTCTCTCACACACACACACACACACACACACACACAGAGGGTCAGGACACAGGCAGTGCCAGACACTGGAGAGAGGAAGGGCCCAGAGGAGCAGCCCTGCTCAGTCTGAAGAGCTCTCAAGGGCTTCCTAAGGCTCTGGCCACCCTCTCAGGGTCCGAGTCAAACCTTAAACAGTGAACAGAGCCCACTGTCTTCCCATGTCACTTAAACTGACAGCTACAAAAACAGACAAGGACAAGGAAGACCAAGTTAGTTCTGACTGATTTTGCTTCAGAAAGTGGCATGTCCCATATCACCCATGTTTTTGGTGGCCCTGATCTGTTGAGTTTAGGCACCTGCTAAGTCCCGAGGACGGCCCCTTCCTACCCTGGCTTTCTGAGGAGGAAATGGAGCTTGTTGGAAGAGTTGTTCCCCCACGATCCACACTGGGTCCCCAGACCCCCACTCCCACCGACTTCTCGCCCAGTTCCCGGAGCACCGGCTAGGGCACCTCACCTGGGATGGATGTCCACCAGCAGCACGAGCGTCTGCATGGTGATCACGTCGATGCGCTTGCAGTGGAAGCGGGCCACCTTGAGCACCTTGAGGTACGTGAAGCAGAGCACAACGAAGGACAGCAGGAAGCTGAGCGCGTGGAAGGCGCCGGTGAAGACCGCGAAGCGCAGGCGCTCCTCTGGCCGCCGGCTACACAGCGTGCAGGACGCGTACAGCTGGTGGAAGCCCAGCCAGGACAGGGCGAGCGCGGCCGCAGGGAAAGTGAGCGCGTGCAGCCACGTGTAGGCCACCATGAGCGCAGCGTCGCGGAGGCGCATCTTAGCGCGATAGCTCAGCGGGAAGACCACGGCCACCCAGCGGTCGATGCTGAGCGCGGCCATGCTGAGCATGGAGTTGGAGGCCAGGAAGGTGTCGAGGAAGGCGGCCAGGCGGCACAGGCGGTCGCCGGCCGGCTGCCGCTGCGCCACGACGCCGGCCAGCGTGAGTGGCATGTTGAGCACGGTGCACAGCAGGTTGCCGCACGTGAGGTTGAGGGTGAAGAGCGCCGGCGCCTGGCGGCGGATGTCGGCGCTGTGCAGGAGGCAGAGCAGCACCAGCGCGTTGGACAGCAGCGAGACGCCCATCGTGCCCACCAGCAGCCCCGCCAGGCCCGCGTCCCACGAGTTCATGGTGCGCGCCCGCCGCCCGCGCTCAGGGTCCGCAACCCGGCGCTGCCATGGCGCAGCCCGCGGCCGCCTCAGCCCCTCGGCGCCGCCGCCGCCCCGCGACCCCCGGCCCCCGCCGCCATGGCTCCCTGGAGGAAGCGCGGCCGCCCCGAGCCCCGCGCCACCCCCTGGACAGGCACCTGGACGCGCAGCCACCCCGGAGCCGGCGCCACCTCCTGGGCTGGCAGCTGGGCGCTCAGCTCACCCCCAGACCCCGCACCGCTTCGGTCAAGCGCGCGGTGCCGTGCGCTGCTGAACCTGGAGCCTTTAACGCCCTGGGATCCTTGAGGGCTGGCGCTTCCAGCTCTGCCTCTGCTCTGCTCTCTGCTCGCTCCTGCCCTCGCTCCGTCCCTCTCCGTCTTCTCGCTCTGCACACCCTCTGCTCTCTCGCTGTCCCTGCCTCCCTCTCCCCGCTAGCTCCTTCTCGCCTGCTCTCCCCTCCACCCCCTCCTCCTCTCCCTCTCCCTCTCCCTCTTTCTCCCTCTGCTGTCTCTCCGTCTGTCTCTCCCACCCCCAATTTTCTCCTCCCCTCTTGTTCTCTCCCCTCCCCCTTCTCTCCCTAGAATCTGACTGCTTCTGTCATGGAAATCCCCACTGATACACACGCACACACACACTCTCTCTCACTCGCTGACACTGACACACTTGGAGGGAATGAGCCCTGAGGCTCCTGTGCAGGGTGATCGCTCCCTGTGCCTCTCCCTCCCCCTTCCCCTGCCTTCCTCTTCTGTGTGTCAGACAGGCTGAATTAAGAAAGGCTTTCAGGGAAGGGAGGGATGCCTGCACCTTCACACCTCTGTACCACCTGTCCCCCCACAATGCTAGCCTAGGAGAAGGGGTACAGCCCTAGCCCACCTGTCCCACTGCTGAGCTGCCCAGGGATTGTGCTCCTCCCTCTGTGCGTTGAACTGGAAAACTCAGGTAGGCTTCTTTTGCTGAGAGGAGAAGGAGCCCACATCTCTCTCTTGCATGGCCAGGGGCCCAGGCATCTCCTGACACCTCCTCAGTCTGTCACCAGGGCAGCTGCTGCACTGTTGGGCATTTAGTTTCTGGTGGCTTCTTGTCATTGCCTGTCAATCAGAGATTTAGCAGCATTCTCAGATCAGCTGAGGGGACAGTGAGGCTCACTATGACATCCCCTTGGCACCACCTTAGCCAGGAGAAGACAATAGCTGACCCTGAGTGCTCCCACCTGGGAAGCCTGCATGTCCACAGTAGGCCTGATACACAGCATCTTAGCCCTGAGTTCCAGCTGCTGCCTTCTGTCAGTCCTGAAGACTGCATACCTGTCCACTCTGGGTCTGCTGAGGCAGCAAGTTCAAGTTTAAGAGGGACCTGATGACACAATGTGCCAGAACTCTTCAGGAAATGGAGAGGATGGTGGCTGACATCCACAGTAACTATGTACATATGAAGTCTCAACCTTGCCCACAGGAAAGGGTGCAATGACCGTGACCCTCCTGCTCCTGGACCAGACTCTGGGGAAGATGTGTGATGGAAAGATAGGTGGCAGCTCTCGGCCTCCACAGTTAGCCTTCCTCTCCACAAGAGGCCACTCCAGTGGCCACCTGCACCCCATAGCAACCTCTGTCCTGAGCACAGACAATCCTATCCTGAAGCCTCCTGGTAGGGCCTGTAACTGTTGAGTCGACCCTGAAGGCAGAGGTCTCATCAGACTTACCTCCCCTCATCTAGCATCAAGCACAGTGCAGATGCTCATGAAATGAGGCAGCAGGGGGGCAGGAAAATCAAGGCTTCTCCCCTCGCACTGCCACAGAGGGCACTCCTCAGCAGTCTTCGAGTGAAAGGCAACTGTATATAGCAGAGAGCTAGAGCCAGCTCCTACCAGTTGTTAGCATCCCTCTCCAGCCCCCTTCAAAGATAGCACATTGCTGGCTCGAAATCTGCCATGCTGGGAGTTACTTGCACCATAGAAATTAGCAAATTGCACAAATCAGGCCTCACCACCCTCCAAGCCTGGGTTAAACATTTACCAGCACATCACTCACAGATTCTATGAGCCCTGGGCCAGTCACTTAATCTCCAGAGCCTCAGTTTCCATAAGTACCTTTTAGAGCTATGGTAAGCAGTATACAAGATTGTGTGTGTGTGTGTGTGTGTGTAACTTTTCTTCCCAGAGAAGGAAACAGAAGAATGCCAGGAATCTTCCCTGTCTCTTGGTCCCCTCCTGTCCTATGGAGTTCAGGGCTGGCTATGTGTCTTCAACAGACATTTAGAATATGGTGTCAGAGTGAGGTATACATCTGAGTGTCTCCCCTGCTTCCAAAGACTGTTCCTCCCCAGAATAGCTCCTGAAATAAGATAGGTGCTCTAGCACTATTAATGGAGGAAACAAATCAACCAATATATTTGGGGGACACTGTCTCCATCCTTGAACCTCACATCTTAGCGTTTGGCAGAATTAACTAGTAAACCTGGGTGTTGGTTAAAGATTTAGATTCCTTGGTCACACCAAGCATTTCCCAGTTAGAGGGTCTGGGATTCTGCACTCTTCATGAGCTCCTCGGGTGATTCTGAGGGTGGTCCATGGCCACACTGGAGGACCATGCTGTATGAGAAGTGGCCAGGTCAGGCAGCTGGATGCCTGAATGTAAAGTGTTAAGTAAAATCCTCATAGAATGTTAGAATTTACAGAACATGTCCAAACATGATCACACTGTAATCCTGCAACAGTGACAGGGAAAAGAGCTTATCACTGTCCACATCATAGAGGTAAGGGCACTGAAGCCAAAGAGCTTAAGTGACAGAGTTGGCAAGGTATGAAGCCTATACCCTAGCTCCACAGATTGGCTCCTTCTGTATATTCCAGAGGTCTCTGGATGTCTCTGGGTATATAAGTTTAAAAAAACAACTCAACTTTGAAATATCAAAATAATGACCATCAACAACAGAAGCCAGTGAACACAGTTGTGTTTACCTTCACATGTGCATACATGTGTTCTGCCCCTCCTCTCTCTCTCTCTCTCTCTCTCTCTCTCTCTCTCTCTCTCTCTTTCTCTCTCTCTCTCTCTCTCTCTCTCTCTTACACACACTCACACACACACACAATCATTTTTGAAGATTATTTGCTTTCTGACTGCATAAAGGCAACATCAAAAGGTTAAAATGTCAGACACTCAGAATATTTTTATCTCAGTTTCCTAAGGGAAAGAAGCTCAATTTCTTTGGGTTTTAAACAAATTTCCTACCCGCAGTGGGGCTATGGGAGGACTGTTCTCCATAGAGATCATGTCTCCAGCCACCTTGGCCTCAGCCAGGTTGGGCCTTGCTAAGCATAGGTTCTAACATGGCCCTAGACACCAGCAAGGGGTTCACCGCCACTGAGGAAGGGAGATGCAGGCCCTGGCCTGGCCTGGACATAGGTCCGCACTACCCTTCAGGAATGACTCAAGAATGCAGCCTGCAGGACCGGGGGCAACAAGGCCTGGGGCGTGCCTGCCAGGGAGCTGCTCCGAGGCAGAGCTACACAACAGGCGACTTCAAGCCAGAGAGGAGCCCGCAGTGATGGAATGTTGATGACAGTATTAACATGACTCATTAAATACCCTAACTGGGCCCCGAGGGAGGGCTTAATCAGCAGGGCTCCACAGAGGCGGCCGGATGCACACGCCATTGCCCATGCTTACAGCATCTGTATCAGGATTCCATCTCGACCAGTGAAGGAGTCGAGACCCAGAGAGCCCAGTTGTTTGTTCTAGGTTGGCATCGATGGACTGTGATGGCACAGTCAGGGTTCAAATCCAAGTCCCTTGCACATAAAAACCCACATTCTTTCTACTCTACCAGTATCTTTATGACACACGCGCACACACATACTACTCTCAACATGGGCTGATGACTACACTGGTCCTTTCCACAGTTACCTTCAGAAAGAGGAAATACTGATATAAACTGAACGGGAACCAGAATGGTACCAGTGCTCCCAAGAGAGGTCCTGTGGAGGCAATGTGAATACCAAAAGCACATTCCTTTGGCAAAGCAGAGAGTTCTAGATGTGTGCAAGTTGAGGGGGAGGGGCGATAACTGATGATCCATGGGGAAGGAGGTGCCCAAGCAGATGCCTAAGAGCTGACGTCTGGCAGCTTCGTGGAGTTGTAGCTCTTGAGCAGAAGGTGAGCCTCCAGGAAGGAGCCTGGGCCGGGCTTAAGCACAAAAGTTCAGGCCCATTGAGAGGATGGCTTCCTGGCTTCCATGGCCTGGAGCATTCAGTCACACTGAGGGCACAACCCTGCCAGCCTCTCCACCTGAGCCATCAGCTGGCTTCCATTTTCAAAGCATTAACACAACTGCTACTACTTGTGATCCCTGTAGAATTCTGGGATTTCCAAGAGTGAACCACAAGTGTTCTTGTTGCACAGATAAGGATGCCAACACCCTAACGGAGATGTTCTTCCATTCTTTGAATAATGACATGTGGTTGGTGAGTGGCAGACCAGGGCATGGAATGCTGACCAGGGCCCTCTCACTGTCCAGTGCTCTCTGCTGTCACTATCAGATCAGATTGGCCCTCCTGCTGTTTAGGCACACCCCCAGCCCAGCCCTCATGGTGGGAAAGCAGAATCAACAGAACAGTTCTTCCAACAGCCATTGGGCCTCTGGCTTACTTGTCTACTCTCCTAAGAATTGGTTTGAGGGACAGGTCTTTGTCACTCCTGAGTCTCTGTGGCTGTCTCCGGCCCACAGGCCAGCCCTGGAAGGTGTCAGGCCCAGCCATAGGGAAGAGGGAGCCTGCTGCCTGGCAGTCTCAGCTGGAAACTCCAGGGAGAAGCCGAGGCTCCCCTCTGATGGACACAGCCTGTGTGGCCACATTCACCCAAGGCCTGCTCTGCTGCGATGCTCCCTGCCTCGTCTCATTTAATCTTCCCTGCAGCCCTGAGCAAGCAATGCTGCAATGACCCCATCATACAGATGAGGAAACAGAGGTTCAAAGAGGTCAGGCAGCATGCTGG